GTCTAAACACATTTCAACACAGAAAAGGTACAGTAAAAATACAGTGTTACAACCTTATGGGACCTCATGTGGACTCATCACTGACTGAAACATTGTTATGCGGTGTGGACTGTATTTGGCTAAACTAGTAAGGTATGCTAATCATTCCTTATATTTCCTCTTTGTTTCAACTAGCACTAAGTTTCAACTAGCACTATTACTTCTGTTTATCCTTTTGTATTTTGTAGGCTGTCTTTTAGTCAGTCACCTTTAATCCTTTCTGGAAAATGTGGAGCATGTATGAATAAATGAAGCAAGCAGGCAAGCTCTGGGTAGACAGGGACTACTTGTTCAGCCACATATCCCCAGCACCTTCTACAGTGAAGGACAGAGTGATACCAAAAATACTTAACAACCAGAAAAATACAGACAAAGATACTAATCAGATAGAATTGTGCGGCTGAGCATGGTGGTTCATGCCTGTAATCCCAGAGCTTTGGAAGGCTGAGGTAGAAGGATTGCTTGAGCCAAGAGTTTGAGACCAGCTTGGGCAATATATCAAGACTTTGTCTCTTAAAAAAAAAAAAAATTAGCTGGGCATCATGAGGTGATGCCTGTAGTTCAGGAGTTCCAGGTTACAGTGCATTATGATCGTACCACTGCACTCCTGCATGGGTGACAGAGTGAGAGCCTCTCTCTGAAGGAAAAAAAATTGTAGAGGGAGAAGGGTGTCTGAAGGGTCCCAGAAAAGGGTCCTTTTGGAAAAGGAATGTTACTCAGGGGTTACAGAGCAGCAGCTGTTTACCAACCAGCAGGGAAGCATTTAAATATTTTTACAAACTCAATACAAATTTGAGTAAGTAAATATTTCTGGTGGCCCTTAAAGTTTTCACTGTGACACACTGTGCTGTCTGGGTAAACTCTCTAGAGAAAGCATGGCCAGCTCTGTCTCCTCAAGCAGAGGCACGCAGAAGGCAGGCAAGGCGACCCCCCTCTTGCCATCGCAGGCAGCAGGTTTGGACCACAAACACAAGCTGTGCCAGAAAACAGTGGGTGACTCAGTCCATACATGAGCAAGAGAATAAATGGAACAAGATGCCCTCTAAACTTCCTCTAGTGAGAGGCAAAGACACACAAGAAATATGGGTAAACCTCACAAGAGAAAATAGAAACCAAGTCAACCTCAACAGAAAAATGCCGATTAACTAGTGAGATAGTAATCCACGTATGAGAAAGGGACATTTCAGCAAGTCTTTGAGTCAACGAAAAGCTATGGAGCGTGCGCAAACAGATACATGCTAAGTCAGAGGTTTTATAAGATCCTGGTGAAAAAGGACAAAAAGTATCCCTGTGATAATTACACAGGGGAAAGCCAATTCTCTGATGAGTGGTTCAACATTTTTTTTTTTTTTTTTTTTTTGAGACAGAGCTCTCACTCTGTTGCCCAGGCTGGAGTGAAGTGGCATGATCTTGGCTCACTGCAACCTCCGCCTCCCAGGTTCAAACGATTCTCCTGCCTCAGCCTCCCGTGTAGCTGGGATTACGGGTGCGTGCCGCCACGTCCAGCTAGTTTTTGTATTTTAGTAGAGACGGGATTTCACCGTGTTGCCCAGACTGGTCTCAAACTCCTGAGCTCAGGCAATCCGCCCACCTGGGCCTCCCAAAGTGCTGTAATAGGCGTGAGCCACCGTGCCCAGGTGACACACCACTTTTTAAAAATCACCAAGTGTGGCATCCATTGATGGCCTCTAGTACCTTTCTCCTTTTCCTCCTTTTAATTATAGCAACTCCCAAGTTTCAGCAGGGCACACAACTGCCTAGCTAGAGACTACATTCCCCAGCCTCCCTTGCAGAGAAGTGTGTCATGTAACTAACCTTGGGCCAATGGGATAAGGACAGAAGTGATCCTAGAGCATCTCCTTAAAGGTCCTTGCCAGGTATTCCTGCTCCACCTTCCCTTCCCTCTGGTTGGCAAATGGTGATGCCTGGAGCAACCTTGTAAGTCATGTGTTACGTGTCATATGTAAGTCATGTGTCATATGCAGAGCTGCCCATCAGCATAGGATAGCTAATATTAGACTGAAAACAGAAAAGTAAAATCTTATTAAGCCACTTAATTTTTTTGTGGAGGGCAGAGAAAGATGATGGTGGTGTTATACTATAATAGCACCTAACTAACCACTTTTCACACCTTCTCCTCTTACCTACCTTCATTTTATACTCAATACATTTGCATGTAATTCTTCCAATCTCTGCTTTTGAATCTGCCATTACATTACTGAGCTTCCACTATTCCTTACTTAACTGAACTTCTAAATCACATAGCCAGCCTCCTTTGAAGGCGTGGACTCTGTTGATGGAATACCAATAGTGCAGTGTGGGAGAGAGGGAAGTGGATTCAAAGGTCCTGCTTCTCACCCTGGGGGGTGGGGTAGGGCTTAGACAGACCCTCAGGTCCACTGACAAAGACCTGCAGCCAAAAGTAACTCCCTAAAAATAAAATAAAGGCTAATATTAGGCCTTGTTTAGTTCCTTGCTTAAGGTCTTATAGCTTCCCTACCACGAATTTAAAACTCAGTTAATATAATGAAGGCAACTGGCAACATGGGTAAGAGTACAGACCCTGGAATCAGAACCAATCTGGGTTTCAGTCCCAGCCTCACTCCCTGCTACTGATATGACTGTGGGCAAATTAACTACTCTGTCTCAGTTTCCTTTCCAGTCAAATGGGGATAATAGGGCCCTCACAGGGGAGCTATGAGAATTTAAGAAAATAATATGTGTTGAGTTACTTTGTAGACATACTACTAGAGGACTCACTAAATGTTAGTTCTTTTTTTTGAGACAGGGTCTCGCTCTGTCATCCAGGCTGGAGTGCAGTGGCGTGATCACAGCTCACTGCAACCTCCACCTCAGCACTTCCTGGGCTCAAGTGATGCTCCCACCTCAGCCTCCCAAGTAGCTGGGACTACAGGTGCATACCACCACACCTGAGTAACTTTTTGTATTTTTAGTAGAGATATCTTGCCCAGGCTGGTCTCAAACTCCTAAGCTCAAGCAATCTGCCCACCTTGGCCTCCCAAAGTGCTAAGATTACAGGTGTGTATTAGTCCATTTTCATGCTACTGATAAAGCCATACCCGAGACTGGACAATTTGCAAAAGAAACAGGTTTAATGATTTACAGTTCCACATGGCTGGAGAGGCCTCACACTCATGGCAGAAGGCAAGGAGGAGCAAGTCACATCTTACGTGGATGGCGGCAGGCAAAGAGAGAGATTGGGCAGGGAAATCCCCCTTATAAAACTGTCAGATCTTGTGAAACTTATTCACTATCACAAGAACAGCATGGGAAAGGCCTGCCCCCATGATTCAATTACCTCCCACCGGGTCCCTCCCATAACATGTGGGAATTTAAGATGAGATTTGGGTGGGGACACAGCCAAGCCATGTCAAGGCATGAGCCACCACACCCCGCCACTAAGTGTTAGCTGTTATGATAACTCTGTGCCTTTCCACGTGCAATTCCCTCTGCCTGGAATAACTTTCTCCTTTTGTTCACCTGGGGAATTCCTTCACATTCATTGTAACTCACGCTCTATGAGGACTTCCCAGCAACTCAATTTGCCAGAAGCAATCAATCTCCTTCATCTGTGCTACTGCGAAGTCACACATATCAAATCTACTTATCATAGTATATTGCACTGGAGTGTTTAAATTTCTGCCCCTCCGCACTATGGACATGACTCATATCTTATTCACTGCTAAATTCCAAGTACTTGGCAGAATACACATTGTAGGGTTTCATACATGTTTGCAATAATGAACTAAATACATCCTTGAATTCACTCTAGAATCAAACTACCTCTCCTCTGTATTAGAAATTTGGCCTAACAGGCCGGGCAAGGTGGCTCACGCCTGTAATCCCAGCACTTTGAGAGGCCGAGGTAGGTGAATCACCTGAGGTCAGGAGTTTGAGACCAGCCTGACCAACATGGTGAAACCTCATCTCTACTAAAAATACAAAATTAGCTGGGCATGGTGGCGCATGCCTGTAATCCCAGCTACTTGGGAGGCTGAGGAAGGAGAATCACTTGAACTCAGGAGGCAGAGGTTGCAGCGAGCCGAGATCACACCATACTGCACTCCAGTCTGGGAGACAGAGTGAGACTCCATCTCAAAAATAAAAAAAAAAGAAAGAAAAGAGAAAGAAATTTGGCTTAACAATTATGTCATTCTTTCTATCAAAAGAATTGTCCTAGCAAATTAAATCGATGCATAATTGTCATTGCTGATATTCTAAAAGGCAGTTATCTGAACATGAACATCTATAGAAATGTTCTCTAATGAGACTTTTCTTTTTTTTTTTTTTTTTTTTTTTTAATTTATTTATTATTATTATACTTTAAGTTGTAGGGTACATGTGCATAACGTGCAGGTTTGTTACATATGTATACTTGTGCCATGTTGAGACTTTTCTTGTCTAACATTTCTTCACATTCCTTTAAAAATTGTTGGCAGATGCAATTCAGAAGATCTTAAAAATCAGTCAGTAATTGAAAAGTATTGACTTTGTAATAATGAAGTTATTAGAATTTTAAGGAGAGAAAAGAGTTATAAAGAATACTTAGCATGTACATTGAAAGCTTTACTTTATAAAGTCTTTTCATTTGCTTCTCCTAAGTGCCTTGTGATAGTGAAAACAGCTGTATTCCTGTTACATGGGAGGTCACACATGATCAGTTCTAAAGCAGATTCTATATTGTAGCTAACTTTGGTGGCACTTACAGTGGTCACTGAATCCAGACTTCAAAAAAATACATTAATATTATATGTTAGAATTTTCTAAAGGGAAAAGAAAGGTATGTAAGGATCCATCTTTGAGGAGGATGAATATTATCATTCTCCATAAAGAACCTTACAAAAGTTTCTAATGACAGTGACCATAATTAGTCTTAAAAAGTAAAAGACATATTTTAAAAGACAGATTTAAAATACCAGGCATTAAAATAATTAAAATACCTCGATGCAGATGTGATGCATTCCTCCAGCCTTGTTTTTCTGCAGAAAACCTGCAATTGGACTGTCACGTCCCAATGGATGAAGCAGTTCCATCTTGGTATTTCCCAGGTTGACAAAAACAACAGATACTCCATGTTCAGGAAGAGGGACCGCTTCACTTACCTGGGCCCCGAGAATATTCTTATAAAATGCTGCAGCCTTTTCCAAATCTGGCACTGCTATGGCTACGTGATTGAGTCGACCCAGGTTCCACAAAGAACCTGCCACTTGATCCAAGGGCTGTGATGTGGAAGAAGCTCTTAATGTTGGAATGGGAGCTTGGAGTCTGGAAAAAAGCCCTGAAAAATTGAACAGCCATTGATATCCTTCTTTTGAGAATTAATACACTTCTAAATTGAATTTAAAAAACTAAACAAATAACACATGCAAAAATTCGTTATTTATATATCTATTCTTTTCAATTATTGAAATGAAACCAGGAGATAAATGGAAAAACTTACACCAGAATTACTCTGCTCTGCCCATTCAAATAACTGACTGGAATAAAAAAGCTAATTCTGAGCTGTAGTTAGATTTAAAACACAGAATAACATTTTTTCATAATGATTCATATTTACCGGTAACACTTAAAGAATAGTGGCATATTAAGAATTATTTGCTATTCTCTCTCTGCATTTCACAATGAAACAACATATTTAATAAGAACGAGCAATTTCTCTACCTGTACCCAATTTTTTGTCTTATATTTTGTAACAAGTCCATTAAAGGTATAAACATACATTAAAAGAATACATACAGTACTCTTTAATGCTCTGTTGCCCAGCCTGAAGTGCTGGAGTGCAACAGTGTGATCTCAGCTCACTGCAACCTCCACCTCCTGGGTTCAAGTGATTTGCCGGCCTCAGCCTCCCAAGAAGCTGGGATTACAGGTGCCCGCCACAATACCCAGCTAATGTCTGTGTGTGTGTGTGTGTGTGTGTGTGTTATATTTTTTTGAGATGGAGTCTTGCTCTTTTGCCCAGGCTGGAGTGAAGTGGCGTGATCTGGGCTCACTGCAACCTCTGCCTCCTGGGTTCAAGAGATTCTCCTGCCTCAGCCTCCTGAGTAGCTGGAATTACAGGCGCCTACCACATGCCCAGCTAATTTTGTATTTTCAGTAGAGATGGGGTTTCGCCATGTTGGCGAGGCTGGTCTTGAACTCCTGACCTCAGGTGATCCACCTGCCTTGGCCTCCCAGAGTGACATGATTAGATGTGTGAGCCACTGTGCCCACCCTAATTTTTGTATTTTTAGTAGAGACGGGTTTCACCATGTTGGTCAGGCTGGTCTCAAATTCCTGACCTCGGGTGATCCACCCACCTTGGTCTCCCAAAGTGCTGGGATTATAGGCGTGAGCCACCATTCCGGCCAGTTTTTAGCATTTTAAAAATTCACTATCACTGTGTCCTCATCAGATAGTTTCTTGATTTCCACAGACAACTCTGCATTCCATTCATTCAGCAAAGAGTCATTGTATGTCATTAACAACAAGAATGGCCTGAATTTACTGTGCACCTACTGTCTGGCACTGCATTTATTTTTTTACACCAACTGTCTAATATTCACAACAAACCTACAAGTTAGAAACTTAGTAAGTTTCATTGTTACCATGAAATCCAAGTGGATTACAACCCAGTACACATATACATAAATGTACAATTGAAACTAAATTGCAAAAAAAGAATACCTTCCACCTTAGCCTCCTGAGTAGCTGGAACCATAGGCAAGAGCTACCATGCCTGGCTAATTTTTGTATGTTTTGTAGAGATGGGGTTTCACCATGTTGCCCAGGCTGGTCTTGAACTCCTGGGCTCAAGCGATCCTCCCACCTTGGCCTCCCAAAGTGCTGGGACTACAGATGTGAGCCACCACACTAGGCCAGTGAAAACGTTTTGAAATAGATAAACGTGACAGTTGCACAAACCCAGTGAATGTAATAATTGCTGTTAAACTGTACTGTTTTTTCTTTTTTTGAGACGAAGTCTTGCTCTCTCGCCCAGGCTAGAGTGCATTGGTGTGATCTCAGTTCACGACAACCTCCACCTCCCGGGTTGAAGCGATTCTCCTGCCTCAGCCTCCTGAGTAACTGGGATTACAGGTGCGTGCCACAACACCCGGCTAATTTTTGTATTTTTAGTAGAGATGGGGTTTCCCCATCTTGGTCAGGCGGTCTCAAACTTCTGACCTCGTGATCCACCCACCTTGGCCTCCCAAAGTCCTGGGATTACAGGCATGAGCCACTGCGCCCGGCCTAAACTGTACATTTTTAAAGGGTTTTGTTATGTAAATTTTACCTAAAAAAAAAAAAAAAATGGCCCAACAATAAAAATCCAAAGGTGAAATTGTGTAGACCAAGGAAACTGGGTAGAGAACAATGAATAAAGAGGTTAAAATGAGATAGAGCTTTATATTTAATAAAAATGTGCTCCTGAAAATTTGTTGTGAATTGAATTCTTATTATATTTTCTCTTGCTACAAGTAATTGTAGCAACTTTTTTCCAGCTTGAGGTCCCATGACTAATAGAAATGGTGTATCTTTAAGGTATACAATGTGATGTTTTAACATATGCATAAATTATGAAAATGATTACCAACACTGAAGCTAACTTTTTAAAGCTATTTTTATTTCAGGTTGCCCTCTAATTCGTAGGAATTCACAGCTCTTTAGTTTTAGGTTTCTCTGCCTCCCATTTCAGAATAGTGCAGCAGAACTGCATTATTTTGAATTCTGTAATGTTTAATTTGTGATTTTTCCAATAAAGGTTGCTTTGCATGAATATACTACAATGTAAAACCACGTGCAAATAAATGCGTAAGATATTTAAAAATAGAAGTGTTAATAAAAAATGCGTGTAAAGATGAATACAGATTTAAGAAACTACTTTCACATACGTCAGGAAGCTGGTATACAGGTAAAAGATCAAAATCGGATGTGTATGTTAACTCTCATTCCAATCTTCCTTTCAATATCAGTTCTTGTTAATCACTTTTAGTGTCCTGACTTAAAAATAACATTGCATTTCTTTCAGTTCAGATTTTGCGCTTATTTCTGATTACACTTTTTAAACACTGTCCTTGCATACATAAAAGTTTAGCTGCAAGGATCTATAGTCAAATGCATTAAGAGTACTTATTATTTAAAGACATTTGATGTTAAATTTGTACAAAAAGTACTAAGTTCACCCATTTGAAGTGTACAATTCACTTCATATAATCTAATTTTAGAACATGTAATGAGTTTTTTTTTTTTTTTTTTTTTTTTTTTTTGAAACAAGTCTGGGTCTGTAGCCCAGGCTGGAGTGCAATGGCACAATCTCGGCTCAGTGCAACCTCTCCTTCCCAGGTTCAAGCAATTCTCCTGCCTCAGCCTCTCGAGTAGCTGGGATTACATGAGCGTGCCACCACACCTGGTTAATTTTTGTATTTTTAGTAGAGATGGGGTTTTGCCATATTGGCCAGGCTGGTCTTGAACTCCTGACCCCAGGCGATCCACCTGCCTTAGCCTCCCAAAGTGCTGGGATTACAGGCGCCAGTCACCGCGCCTGGCCAAACGTAAGTCTGAATTTTCACCTATCTGGTTTGAGGAAACATACAGATTTAGAAAGTCATTCATTAGAAGTGCCTTCAAGTTAGTCTGGTAAGTTTTCTCTTAACCATTTGACCAGTTAATTTCACAGCACCATATATATATCTCCAACTTGTTTCAAACTATGATCAAATTTTATTTTTATTCATTACAGTAACTAAACAGATTACATTTGTTAGCCCATTTACAGATGATTAATAAAAGTAAACCTATGCAGTCATGTAAGTTGGTCATTCTTGTCTCCCACCTAACAGGTTCAATTTCCATTTTCAGAACTTTTCTACGTGTTCAATCTGATTTTTCTGTGCTTTTGTTTTCCTGCGAAGTTTTATGTTCCTTAAAAGAGGGGCCATAACATAGAATTACCATGTAATCCAGCAATTCCACTTTTGAGAATATACACCCCCAAAAAAGCGGGAATTCAGAGGTATTTGTATACCCACGTTCATAGCTGTATTACAATAGCCAAAAGGTGGGGAAAACCCAACCGTCTACCAAGAGATGAATGGATAAACAAAATGTGGTATACACACACAACGGAATATTATTCAGTCTTAAAAAGCACCTTTTTTTTTTTTTTTTTTTTGAGACGGAGTTTTGCTCTTGTTGCCCAGGCTGGAGTGCAGTGGCGCAATCTTGGCTCACGGCAACCTCCGCCTCCCGGGTCCTGCCTCAGCCTCCCGAGCAGCTGGGATTACAGGCGTGCGCCACCACGCCCGACTAATTTTTGTATTTTTAGTAGACACGGGCTCACGCCTGTAATCCCAGCACTTTGGGAAGCTGAGGTGGGCGGATCACCTGAGGCCAGGAGTTCGAAACCAGCTTAGCCAACATGGTGAAACCCTGTCTCTACTAAAGGTACAAAAAATTAGCCGGGCGTGGTGGCGGGTGCCTGTAATCCCAACTACTCGGGAGGCTGAGGCAGGAGAATGGCTTGAACCTGGGAGGCGGAACTTGCAGTGAGCTGAGATCACGCCACTGCACTCCAGCCTGGGCGACAGAGTGAGACCCTATCTCAAAAAAAAAAAAAAAAAAAAAAAGGTAAATTTTACTTTATGTATATTCAACCACACACAAAAGTGCAGCCATTAAGTTTCAAGTATCTTAATAGGACAAATCAAAGGCAATCTTTGGAATACACTATCTTCATTTTTCCTTTATGCCAAGACGTGTATGTAAGTTACAAAACAAACATTCACCTTTATCTGTATTGAGTTCTTGCAGTATGTATATGACCCGTTGGAAATCATACTTTTTCCCAAACTGTCAATCATTAAAGGGTGCAGTTCTAAAAGTACACATAAAAATGCCTTTTCCCAAATATTCATTTATTTATATTTTTACGTTCCTATTTTGTGTATCACCTAAGAGGGTATGCCTTACGGTTAAGAATGTGCTCTGGTGCTAAAAGGATTTATCACGAATGTCCCAGAGTAACTCTGGGGCATTACCACTTGGCACCTTCTTCCTAACAGGGAATCTCAGATTAAGGGAAAAACTTGCCCTCTCATAAAAGGAGGAAGAGAAAAAAAAAGGATAAAAAGAGGAGAAAGTGAGAGTCAGAAAACGTGACAATTATTAGTTATTTCTGTCATAACTTATTCTATGTACACATTTTTTAAAAAATGAAGGGGGAGAGAACTCAAGGAAGTTTCCAAATCCACATGCTTTTATCTGTGTACGCGATGATAAACACATTAGTGCACGTGGAAAAATCCCTCCTTTTGTATTCTTTACACCACTGACCTTTGACTGTTCCCAACAGAAAGCTGGTCATGCTTGGAGTTCGGCCGAAGTAGCAGTTGTTGTTTTTACAGGACTTGCTCTCCTTTCTGGTTTCTCCCCATTCTCTTTATTGGTGCGCAGTAAAATAACTTACCAACCCGCTTCTATTCACTTCTGTCCCTGCCCTGCCTGACCCACCGGGCAAGTTCCCTCGCCTCCCCCGCCCACATACTGGAAGGTGCAGTGCCCAGGGCGCACAGCTCCCGGATGGCAATGGGACTCGTGCACAAGGCAATCCCCGCTACTACGCGGAGGCGTTTCTGAAAGTTACCGTCAGCCTAGGTGCCAGCAGCGGCCGTGGAACGCGCCCCCGGGGGAGAGAGGGCATTAGATAAAGGTGCTTTGGCCACGCCGAGGCCTCCTCCGCCCCCGACCTCCGTTCCCACACCCCCCGCCCCACGGCGACTTTCGCCGGTGCCCGGTATTCACCTATGGCATTCCCGGCGGCCGCCCTCAGCGCCCGCGCCATTTTGGAAAGCAACCCGCCACGTCCAGACCCGCAGAGGACGGTGAGAGACGCGCAGCAGAGGACGGGGCGGGAGGCAGAGGGGGCGGGGACAGACAGGTTAGGGGCGCGGGAAGGGCGCTGCTTTCCTGCTTCAACACGCCTACTTTAGCTAAAACAGAAACTTAAAGCCAGGACGGGTCACCCTTTGTTGGCCCCTGAAAAATACAAAACGAAGTTTCGAGAGAGTTCAAAGGCGTTTGGACCGACCATGGCGATTTTAGATTTCCGTGCCCCTGCAGAAGCGAAAGCGCTCGCGCTGCCATTGGCTCTGGCTGAGGGCGAGTCCGGAACCTGTGCGCAGCGGAACTTTCGGCTCTGACATCCACGTTGCGCTACGCGCCTGTTTGCCGAGCGGTTTCCGGGCGGCTCCCTGCCCTTGCATGCGGCATTGTGTCGGGAGTTGCTGACAGCCATGGCCCCGCGGGTCTGGCGTCGACGGACCCTGGAGCGGTGTCTGGCAGAAGTCGGCAAAGCCACGGGTCGGCCCGAGTGCTTCCTCACGTAAGTGCGCAGATCCTGGGCTCGGGGTGCGACCGGGGTCTCACGTGGACGCGGGTTGCAAATTGTGGAGCTGGGGTAAGGTAAGGGGAAATATAAATCACTTTTCCCTAAATTTCGGAGTCTGTACTTTCCTAGGCTATCAAAATTTTAAAAATTGTTAACATTTATATAGATGGATCTCTCAATTGAGTGTTACTGAAATCACCCTAACCTCAGTTATTAACGGCTAGAAGCTTCCCTTGGGCTTCTTACGCCCGCATCCCTCTACACACAAACTGTTGGTTTCTCTTTCCTCCAGTGTGCTCCTAAAGCACTCAGTGCTTAGCATACTTTATTGAAAGTACGAACTTGTCACTTGTCTGTCCACCCCCAACAACTAAGCTTCTTGAGAATTAGAACTTTCATGTCTCTTCCCAGCACAAGCGTTTTATATGTATTTTGTTGAAGAATTTAAAATACGATCTATGAAATTATTACTCATTTATATTTCAAACCTCGGCTCACAGCAACTACAGATTTTGCTTAGTTTGAATTCAGTAGCACACAACTGGGATATCCGCACTGTGCAACTTTTAACGATTTTTAAAATTTTGGTACTGTCAAGCATCTCAAATTCACTGCGTCCAACATAGAGCTGTTGTTTCTGCTTAATAGAATTATTGTTTCTGCCCACCCATACTCTGCCATCCCCTGAAGTCCTTTTCCCATGCTCACCTGTCAAGCACGTCCGTGTGAAGAGACCACTAAAACAGGCTTTGTGTGAGCAACAAGGCTGTTTATTCACTTGGGTGCAAGTGGGCTGAGTCCGAAGAGAGAGCGAACGGTGATGGGGAAGAGGTTGCTTTATAGGAGCTGGGTAGGTAATGGAAAATTACAGTAAAAGGTGGTTATCTGTTGTTAGCAGAGGAGGAGGTCACAAGGTACATGGTGGGGAGATCATAAGACTTACTCTCTAGAAGAAGAATATCACAAGGTCCATTGATCAGTTAAGGTAGGGCAGGGACAAGTCACAATGGAGGAATGTTGTAATCTTGGTTAATCAGTTAAGGCAGGAACTGACTGTTTTACTTCTTTGGTGGTTTTTCCGGTGCCCCAGACTTCTTGGCTCCTGCGGGCCACCTGGACGTATATGTGCAGGTCGCAGGGGTTACAATGGCTGAGCTTGGGCTCAGAGGCCTGACACCACCACGCAAGCCTTCCCTATCTCAGTAAATGGCACTTCTGTCTTTCCAGTTTCTCAAACATGAAAGTAGGCTGCTACTTTATTGTCTTCGTTTTTCTCTATTCTATATCTAATTCCTTAGCAGTCCTGTCAGTTCTACCTCCAAACTAAGCATATTCACTGCTCTAACTCCAGTTTACATCACCATTATCCTTTGCCTGGAATGCTGCATCAATCAACCTTCTAATCACCGTACTTTTCCTCCTCCTCCCTCCTCCCTTTCTTCTTCCTTCGTGTAAATCATCATTTCATCCCTCTACTTAAAATGTTTTCTCTTTTTTTTTTTTTTTTTTTGAGACAGTCTCGCTCTGCCGCCCAGGCTGGAGTGCAGTGGCCGGATCTCAGCTCACTGCAAGCTCCGCCTCCCGGGTTCACGCCATTCTCCTGCCTCAGCCTCCCGAGTAGCTGGGACTACAGGCGCCCGCCACCTCGCCGGGCTAGTTTTTTGTATTTTTTAGTAGAGACGGGGTTTCACTGGGTTAGCCAGGATGGTCTCGATCTTCTGACCTTGTGATCCACCCGTCTCGGCCTCCCAAAGTGCTGGGATTACAGGCTTGAGCCACCGCGCCTGGCCTAAAATGTTTTCTCTTTACACTTTAAATGACAAACTCTTACTCCTGAGCCACGCGTAATTTGGCTCCCATCAGTCTCTCCAGCTTCACCTTCTGCCTCCTTCACACTTTAGCCGTGCTTACCTTTTTGTTCCTCAAGCTCACCTCTAGAGGATTTGCATCTTAGAGGATTTCTTCTGCCTGGAATACATGTTTCCCAATCTTTATAAGACCATCTCCTTATCTACAGCTTTCCCCTCAAATGTGGCATCTAAGAGAGGTTTTCCTTGACCACTGTAGCCAAAGCAAATGTTGATCATTGAATGAATAAGTGAATGAATGAATGGAGTTGTATATAATGTAGCAGAATTGATGATTTAAGGCTAATTTACTACATATCTCCAAGCAAATAAATTTGTAGTGGTTTTCCTGCCTAAAATCTATACAGCTGATTCACAGATACTTGGTTGACAGGTTTTATATATCAATGTAGGTCATCAGCTTATATGTTGTTGGGGGCCAGAATCTATACTTACACTTCATTCAAATTTGATTTTACAAAAGAGTTGGGTTTTTAAATTTTATTAAGAGTGCTGTGAAATTATTACCTATGATTCTAAATCTCAATTCCTCCCAATAGGATTCAAGATGGATTGGCATCAAAGTTCACTTCTTTAACAAAAGTGCTTTATGACTTTAATAAAATATTAGAGAATGGTAGGATCCATGGAAGCCGCTTGCAAAAACTTGTGATAGAAAATTTTGATGATGAGCAGATTTGGCAACAACTGGAATTGCAAAATGAACCAATTTTACAATACTTTCAGAATGCAGTTAGTGAAACAATTAATGATGAAGACATCAGTCTTCTCCCAGAGAGTGAAGAACAGGAACGTGAAGAGGATGGTTCAGAGATAGAGGCTGATGACCAGGAGGACCTAGAAGATTTAGAAGAGGAGGAAGAAGTGTCAGACATGGGTGATGATGATCCTGAAGTGGGTGAGAGAACTAAAAACTCGAGCAAATCTGGTCTGAGGAAAAGCCCAGTTTTCAGTGATGAGGATTCTGACCTTGACTTTGATATCAGCAAATTGGAACAGCAGAGCAAGATGCAACACAAAGGACATGGAAAACCTAGAGAAAAGTCTGTAGTAGATGATAAATTCTTCAAACTCTCCGAAATGGAGGCCTATTTAGAAAACATAGAAAAAGAAGAGGAAGGAAAAGATGATAATGATGATGAGGAGGAAGATATTGATTTTTTTGAAGATATTGATTCTGATGAAGATGAAGGGGGACTGTTTGGAAGTAAAAAACTTAAGGTAAAGTTTTGAGAGAGGAGAGAACACTTTCCTCCTCAAATTAGCTTTCGTTCTCTTTTTCTAGGGGAGATTTAATTGTAGTTAGAAGTTTTAGTGATAAGAAATATTGTGCTCTATCTTATCAGTTACAAATGAGTCTTCTTCCGTTCAATTTATGTTCCAGTTGGTCTTACAGTTTTGTGGTAGTGTTATTAGTTGCCATTTTCATCTAATCACTATTTAGTTATTAGTTTAGTTATTAGTTATTAGCTCATAGTGTTATTAAGTCAGAAAGTAATATATACATACAAATCTATGTGCATGTGTTAATATATTTTTCTATTCCTAATAGTTTTAAAAATCTTTTTAGTCAGGTAAAAGTTCCAGAAATCTGAAATACAAAGATTTTTTTGATCCAGTTGAAAGTGATGAAGACACAACAAGTGTTCATGATGATGAGCTGGATTCAAACAAAGATGATGATGAAATTGCTGAAGAGGAAGCAGAAGAACTAAATATTTCGGAAACGTGAGTTTTTTGAACCATCCTTTATATTGTAGGCTGGAATTGCCCAATCATGTATGTGTACTAGTAGTTATCAAATGTGTCTGTCTTAAGAAGTTGGATTCTCTAATATCAGATATTCTCAAGATAGCCAGAGGAAAGTCTCTGAATGTAAAGGGACATTAGATATCACTTAATGAAGAAAAATATCACTGGTAGTAGCAATCAAACCTTCCTTACCAGGAACTTTGATTTGGTTTTGTGTCAATAAAATCCTGTTATTTTTGTGAGATAAGAGATTTGTATTGTAGATTGATGAATAATTTATTTTATATATGTTGGACACTTTTTGTTCTGTTTCTTTTTTTTTTTTTGAGACGGAGTCTTGCTCTGTCACCCAGGCTGGAGTGCAGTGGCGCAATCTCCACTCACTGCAAGCTCCGCCTCCCGGGTTCACGCCATTCTTCTGCCTCAGCCTCCCTTTGGGACTACAGATGCCCGCCATCACGCCTGGCTAATTTTTATTTTTTTGTAGTTTTAGTAGAGACGGGGTTTCACTGTGTTGGCCAGGATGGTCTCGATCTCCTGACCTCGTGATCTGCCCGTCTCGGCCTCCCTGTTCTGTTTCTTACATAGCATTTTACCTAAATAATACCTTTTGTTCCTTAATAACTGAATGATTTTGGAAGTTCTGAGTATTTGGTTGCATTAGGTATATAAAAGAAGAACTTTATTAAGGGAAAATTTGTTTCCTTTTGTTTTTCTAATGGAAAGTAGCATATTTTTTTTGTAAGAGTTTTGGTATTGTAGGGATGAAGATGATGACCTTGAAGAAAATGAAGACGATAAACAACATAAAGAAAGCTTGAAAAGAGTGACCTTTGCTTTACCAGATGACGAGGAAACTGAAGATACAGGTGTTTTAAATGTAAAGAAAAATTCTGATGAAGTTAAATCCT